CTCGTGCCACCATGACCACAACCACCACCCCCCCCCCGCCCCCCACCACCGCCACCCCTACCACCCGCACCACCACCAGCACCAGCACCAGCACCAGCAGCAGCACCAGCAGCAGCACCAGCAGCACCACCAGCACCACCACCACCACCACCACCCCGGTTTGACTCCGACTGCTACGACGAAGGGGACGGCGACGACAAGTGCAACTGCCGATTACTTTCGCGACAACCTCCTTTTACCACACTCTCGGTGCGGCAATCCCAATACTGCAATCTACTGTCCTGGATGTTGCTCTTGGAGTGCCGGCCGTTTAAATGTGTTGCCAATTCCGTCCTGCTCGCTGTGTGCTGTCGTGTAATCTATGCACTGGCTTCTTGCTACTCGTAGTAGCGCTTGTGTTCGTGTCCAGGATGTTTCCGTCACTACTGCCTTTGCATGTGCTATGAGCGCGGGGTATTTAATTAGATCAATCGGCTGGTGTTTCACAACAGACCTTCGGTGCAGGTAGCAGCGTATAGTCGTAAGTTTGCACAGTGCTTAGGTGCTTCGTTTGGTGGGGGCTTGCTGTTCCTGTGACTAGTTTCCACGCTATGTCGGTTTAGACTCAAGTTTGGACTGAGCCAGAAGCTGCTGTGCATTGCGGCCGCATGCGATATGCCGATATGCAAGCTCGGTGCATTTTACATGCCAGCCGCGCACATCCGTCCGTGTGCAGGTATGTAAGCAGGTATGTAACCATGTAGTTATGAATGTGTGTTCGTTTCTGTATGTCTCTGTATGGTTGCATGTATGCATGTCTGTATGCTGTGCGTATGTATGTGTGGATGTGTGTATGTCTGCATGTATATATGTGTGTATGTATGTATGTATGTATGTATGTATGTATGTATGTATGTATGTAGTGTAATGTATGTATTGTAATGTAATGTAATGTAATGTAATGTAATGTTATGATATGTTATGTTATGTTATGTTATGTTATGTTATGTTATGTTATGTTATGTTAAGTATGTATGTATGTATGTATGTATGTATGTATGTATGTATGTGTGTATGTTTGTATGTGTGTATACTTGTATGTATGTGTACTTATGTCTGTTTCAGTACATATGCATGAGTTAGGTACTTGTCATGCTATGGTTTTACATGATCTGATACTGCATTGTTTCGATGTTGCATGATACGATGCTAGACGCTATTGCCTGCTCGAATGCAATGCAAAATCAGGTAGATTAATTATGCCATGCTGTCACATACACGCACAAATGTTTTCGCTGCCCAGTCGGCAAGGCATCCTGCTGGCAGGGCATCCGGTATGGCGAATTGGTGGAGTCCCATCAAGGCAGACGCTAACCCTGAACCAAAGAGCCTCTGTTCCTACAGTGGTTGCAACTTTGCAGAATTGTCCATCAGCACGCCGGCAGGCAACACTCTGGAATGTCTGAATCTGGCTCTGGATCACTTCGACCAGACTCACCTGGACAGGTATCTCAAAATCAGCGGTCAGGCGCGTCAATCCGTTCAAGAACATTCGGGTTTCGATCGACCCTCTGCTTTTCGTACCGACTTCCGAGGTGGTAATCATTCTCACCGCTGGGAGTGGGCTCATTCGAAGCCGCACCCGGGAGCTGTACATGTTGACCAACCGCCGCTGCAGCTTAGGGGCAAGCCAAGCAGCCAAGTCATGGTGTGAACTCAGAAAGCACAGCCCGCCCCCAAGCCCCCCTTGCCGCCTCTGGCCTTGGGCTGTGAGCACTAAGGCATCGCATCTGGCCACCAGTCTTTCCAGATCGTCAGCGTCCGGGATTCTTGGCAACACCAAAGTTGGCATAGCGATACCACCGACCATGGCATGAGAGCTAGGCCATGGATTGAAGATAAGATTCATCTCAAGAATCTCGCTTGGCTGAAGGGATTCAGGGCTTAGTGCATTGCAGTCAGTCCTGAAACAAAATCTCAAGAATCCATACTCAGAGCCAGCACACTGATTTTGCTACTTAACCTTCGATGCTGATAGGCCATTGCCATCCCCACGCCCCAGTAGTAGTAGTGAATCACTGAAGTTAATCGGAATCTGAGAAAAGCTCCAGAACCCTCGAAGTGTGAAGCTGTGCCAGCAGTTTTCCACATCACTGTGAACCCGATGTCAGTCGCAGGATCCGCCTTTTCATCGGGTGCCCTGGATCATGTGGCCGCAAAGTCCGTCCATCTCCGCCCTCTCCGTACCCTCGCGGACGTGCGGAAGCCCAGGGGGCTGGCAGTACGCCCGGGCAAGTAATCATGGTGATGGTGACGATGGCGTTTTTCTGTTGCTGAGTCCTCAGCTTGGACAACTCTTGCGAGTCCCTTCGCAAGACAGGTCACACGAAACGGAAGCGGACAAGCTCTCGCCATTCCCGCGCTGGCTGTCCTTCATCTGCTACCAGGAAGGCCGCCTCTCCCCTTGCTGGACGGAAGAGGTGCCCCGGCCCAAGTAAAGCAGGGGCCTGTTAGCGCTATGGTCCAGTATCATAGACAAGGGTTTTGGGCTATTACATTATGCTATAATTGTTCGTCTGTGCCCAGGACTCGGTCAAAGCTTCGTTCCTCCCGTTCATCGACCATGAGCAGAACCACGGTTTGCAATGGACTCCGCCAGTCCTGCCGCTGATCCAAGAGTCGCATCCTCGTGAGCAAGAGCCTTTGATACTTTTTCAGTGGATTTTTCGTGCTCTCTTTAGATCCTGAGGCTCGTGGGGCCATGGGAGACCACAGCAACACCTCATATGCATTCGTGTTGTCTCATGCGCTAAGGACGTGCGCCAAACCATGTCTCCAAAGTCGATGCCGACGTTTCAGGACGAGACGGTGCTACGAGCTTTCCGCGCATCCTCCAACCAGAAAACATGGGACGAGATTAGGCGCGCAGACCCCTGCACAGTTCTAAGAGCATGACAAGCATGGTAGGGCATTGGACCACTCTGTTGTTATTGAGGCTGCCGCGTTTGAGCTCGGCCATGAGTGAGTCGACGAAGACGGTGACCGAATATCTCCCCACGCAATACACTGTCAACCCATTACGTTTCGGACAAGAAGAAGGAAGCTCGGCTTAGAAGGTACTGCTTGGTACGCTTCTCCACTGAGGGGATTTCCATTTCCATTTCGATGTCGTGAGGCGCACAGCTCAACCTGATGCAAGACCTCGTGGGGTTGCGCCTAGCCGCTCTCGGGGGCACCCAGATCATCAGGAATGTGAACTACAACGTCTACAACTGGCCCGCGCAGGCTTCGGGGGCTTTGGGGGCTTGGGAAGGATGTTAAGCTAGACCGGACTTGTGCCCGTGGCTGCACCGTGCCCCACATTGTGTCAGGCCTGATATTTCCTGAAATGCTATGTGCACACGAGAAGTCTTGGTTCTGCCAGGGCATGGCGGACGACGAGGAGGACAAGCAGAGTCCATGGCAGGCACCGAAGATGTCGCAACATGCGTCCTTGAACGTCTCCGAAGATTTGATTCGCATGTCCCAGGGTTTGCTAGTTGAGTGCTGATACCATATTGATGCTTCAGACTGGCTTGTCAGCTGTGTGGCGGAGAGGTGCATGGCAACCTCCTCCCAAAATCTCTGCATCAGCTCACTGTGCAAGCGGCTTGTGGGTCTGAGTGGAGGCGGGCAGGGCGGGGCGACATGAGGGACGTGCAAAACGGGCATAAACCTGATCGGGTCGGCCTGCCACTTATCGGAGCCTATGGTGCCTTTACACGTGCCCCACGACCACGTGCATAGCATGCGCTTACTTACGGGGGAGCTTTTCTGGCATGGCTTTGGCCAGCTATGCAGGTTCGCACCGAGAGAGACGGATCTTACTGTCGGCAAGAAGGAGCACTTTCAACTGGACAGATGCTCGTCAAGCATGCAGGGCTTCTTTGCTTGCCCTGGCTGTGATTGAACCCGGGTGACCAGTCGAACTACTGCCTCTTCAAGGCCTCTTCTAGGGTTGGAAGGCACTTCAGGTCACCAGCTTCAGATTCAAATTTCCGATCTCTCATTCCCAGAGCCCTAGGTTGGGGAAGCGCGGTCTTTTTCAGAAGTTTGCACCAGCCCGATGGAAAAGGCACACTCAGCGTCACTAGAGTCGGAAGCCAAAAGCCCAGGAGACAAAGCCACCAGCTTCCTCTACGAGCGCTTCTTTGTGCACCTGACCTCCCGATGGGGCCAGGAAGGCCCCGGGCCGCCAGAAACGACCTGGATCGAATCTCGCACGGCCCCGCGGACGGAAGATTCCTAGGCTGAAGATACTTTTCGTGCAAACCAGTGCAGTGGAGCTACACATGATCCCAATCCACTGAGCAGCACCCAGGTCTTCCATCTAAATGAGCGTTTGGATTGGAACTACTTGGACCAGGTATTGGCAGGCGGAAAATGTGTCTTCAATTGCCTTAAGCACTCGTATCGTCCAAAGATGCAGCTGTGATTGTTGCATGACATTCTGGTGTCCGATGAAAGGTGTTTACAGAATACCACCTGCACTGCCATACCCTGTGGATCGCCGCAACCTCAACGACCCTCTGATCAGGAAAGCTACTTGCTTCGCAATGATGCAGTCTTGTTGAGACGCTCGGGAGGATCGGTTTAAAAACCTCGGATCGTCTAGGGTCGCAGAGAGAGTTACAGGCCCAACAGCACTGTTTCCTGTAGCTGGTTCTGGCACTCCCTGAAAGAAATATGCTGCCAGAACAAGAGGTGAGAATCTGGTCGGTACTGTACGCATGAAAAGCAGAAGCAGGATAGCTGACGAAGGAGCGCTGTGGAGCAAGCTGATGTACCGTCAGCTAGTAGTTGGTCTAGTCTGCAGTAAGCCCGCACTTCGGATCGGGCTTTGGCTCATCACGGCTCTTTAAGCTTTGAGGCAGTGTCTATGTGAGTGAAATGTCCGAGCCCAGGACAGCTCGAGCTTGTCTCTATCCGGAGACACGCGCGATGGTTGGCAGCTTAGAGGACCCGGGTTGTTGCCAAGACAGGCCTGTCGCTGGACACAGCTATATATTGTATACATGAAGAATATGTATGTATGTATGTATGTATGTATGTATGTATGTCGTGCATGCATATGCATATGCATACACACACACATATATATATATACATATACGAATATACATGTATTATGTATTCTTATCATATATATATATGGAGTTGTTATCGTCCTTTTCTTTGAGGTACCATCTCTGACTCGTGCCAGGAGCATTGAAGCAGCATCTGCTCATGCTCATGCCCAAGTCCTGCTTGGCTTCGTCGCATGCCGAGATCTTCAGGCCGGCCAGAAATTCTCACAGAACATGGGGTAGCATAATCATAGAGTGGACAATATGCAGGCATTCCAAAAAGATGTCCTCGTTGCAAGTGTTTATCCTTATGCCTGTCGGGCTACAGTAGTGTGCAAGACTCAGATGTTGCAAAGACTCGCAACATTCGGCCATCCCTGTTCGAACACCCAGGATGACGGTCTCGAGAGCGCACAAAGTCTGGACAAAAAAGCGGGTTATGTATAACAGCAAAATGTGGCGAGTGGATTGAATTCACCACGCGCGAAAGCGCACAGACCTGATGCGAGAGCACTGCGTGATCGACCCGCAGGCAGTGGGGGCGAGATGCTTCACAGCTTGCGAAGTTCAGGGCTGCTTTAGATAGGGAACGGAAAGCCGAATTGAGGCCGCGATGCGTGCACGATGTCGAACCAAGCAGGCATGGGGGAAACAAAGAGCATGCTCAGGCACCAGCTAGACCACCGATCTGCTTTGGCAACATGAGCAGATGAGACGTCAGCAGGGCAGGACGAGAGCGACGTGTTGTATCGTGCGTGCACGTGTGGGCTGTGTCTGCGTTCGCTGCGGTGTGGCAATGTGTAGATAGCAGGTCCTGTGCCATGACTGCATGACTCTTTCCAGAACATGTGCAAGTCACTTAGGGCGGTCCTGGCTTCATTACCGATGGTCATGATGTGATGATTAGATCGTGTCCTTGATCGTGCCAATATTGAATATTGCAAGGAAAGGAGTCTGAATGGTGCCGGGGATCACTAGGTCCATCGCATTCATGAGTCAGGGATGTCCGTTCAAGCCTTCATGCAATTCGGCGATGATGCGAGCAACAGGTGCGTCTTATCCCACCTGGAGGGCAAGATAGTTCTAGGTGCCCTAGCCGCATGTTTGGGGTCCGAGTTGAGGCCTTGCAGACCACTGAATGTGTAAGGACCTCACCACAGAGGCGGCATCACAAAGGATCAGTGTGCGAACTATCTAAGGCAAAGACCCCTTCGATGCGTTTGAGCAAAGCGGGAGCTTTGAGAAGAATCGGGACCGGTGGGTCATGAGTCCTGCATCTGCATGTTGTAGCACACCAGTCCTTTGGCACTGTCTTGCTAGCGCATGCTGCAGCCAAAGCTTGCATTCTGCAACCGGCAATCCGAGCTCCCGGCCAGGAGCTTATCATGGAGGCACTGAGCAAAAGACAGGAATATGTTCGCGATCAGGCGCTTTGCAGACAACAGGGGCGCAGGTCGATGTCCGTTCTTGATGCGTTGCCCGTGCTGCCGGCCATCATGAGTAGCAAGGGCCTGGCGACAGCTTAGTCTACCATGCTCTAAGAGCGGGAATTTTGGTCAAATCGACAAGTTGCCTGCCTGTGCGAAGCCTCTGACAGTTGGCAGAAGATCAGAGCCTGCCATCTCGCCAGACTTCGAGGCGCCAGCTCTTCGGGTTTGGGCGCCAGACTTCAGCGTGATCTGGTCTGTTCTTCAAACGAGAGTCTAAGCCTAAGCTTACCGCAAAATGCCGTCGCCATGAATGGTGAGCCACTCATTTGAGATGTTGCTACCTGCTAGGTCAGTTCGCAGCTGCACTCTGTGCTGCAGGAGCGAAGTGAACCCTACAGACGGCCGACGTCACAGTGCCACTGGTTCAAGTTCAATCCAGGATCCCAGCCTTGGGAGGGGAGAGGGGGAGGGAGGGAAGAAGGGAGGGAGGGAGGAAGGGACTCTCAAAGCACGGGCACAAGCGTTCTCTCTCTCGCACTCTCTTTTCCCTGCTGGATCCGTTGCGAGGAGTTTCTCTACTTTGGTCTCGATGGCTTGGGAGATTCTGCGGAAGCACCTCAGGATTGCCTGGCAGGGACAGAATGTGCGAAACGGTCGAAAATTCAACTTTGCTCCGCAGGAACAGCCGCCCGTTTCCCGCAACACGACGACCGTGACTACTGCTTTTGACAACACCGGGACGGTGGCACAGGACCGGGGACTAGACTGGCAACACTAGGGGCAGGAGATCGAAACAATACGCAAGCAATGTGGACAGCCAAAGTATGTTGTTGATCATAGTCAGGTCCACAAGCACTTCTCTGGTGCGACATGCGCTTAGTTTACCTGTGTCTCTACGTCGGAGTTAGAGAGAGAGCTCTCTCTCGTGGGCGTATGCGCCAGGATGATGTCGACCCCAACGACGACCCGAAGAAGCTGCTTGAGGACTTGGAGACTTCGGCAGAAGTAGTGTTGAGATTGTAGGGATCCCAAAGGGATCTCTCGATCCTGGGAGGAGAGGGCACTGGCACTCCCCGTGCAGTTCCTTCGACGATGTCATACCCATGTCATACACTTTGTACGGAAGCTCGCTTATTCAGCTTGTGCCATTCCTGCGGCAGCTGGAAGTATGTAAGGATGAGATTCGATCGCAGACAGTCGAAAAGTGTCCCGGAAGCATTGATTCCAAGGTTTGGTAAGGTTGTCAGTTTGCTCTCGGATGTTTGAGCACCGACCATAATCGAAATTCCGGCGCGAAAGCGCAGATCCAGTGGACTTTCTAGCCTCGGCCCCTGACTGTGAACACCTCAGCCTCGCAAGAAAGTACGTGTAAACCTCCACAGTGCGATGCGGGTCTCTGGTCAGGTTCAAGTCATTCCAGGAAGGACTTCGCAAGCTGCTCTTCGGGCGAATGCCCAAGGAGCAGTTCGATAAAGAGCTTCTGGCATCTCAGAGCAAGTTCGAAAGCTTCAGGTGGCCACTTCTTGGGTTTATCATGTTAAGAATGGTTCCTTTTGCTGATAAAGTATACGGTTTCTGCGGTAGATGACTAATGACTAATGGATGTCATTGTGGCTTTCACTTCTCTTTCACACGGGCGAGCTATGCACTCCAGCACAAGAGCTCAGGACATTGATACCAACTCCGTGCACTTCACAGTGGGACGAGGAGAGAAAGAAGTGTCAGTTTGCAGAGCAGAGCTGGGGAGTCTTAGCTGAATTGGGCATCCCTGTATAATCCCCCGCAATTATTGGCATAATATGTCTCAAAGCAATTGTCTCGAGCCCTGTTCTGACCATGAAGGCCCCTATGCAGCAGCTTAGCGGGTTTGCCTTTTTTGTGTTTCGATACAAGATGGGTCGAGTCTCGTAATGACTAGCCGACTGTGCCCGTGTCCAGTATTGTGTCTGCTTCAACCGGGTCCTGAGACGGAGATCAACAGCGCCTCTCCGTTTCCCACTGTCGGAAAGCCTGAAGTCCTGCGAGTGTGGTTCCAACCGGGTTCGCGTCAGTACTCTGCTGGCTTGGCTCCGAACGCGCGTGCCAGTGCACACGCCCGAGCAAAGCCCAGCAAGCCTTGTCAGAGACATGCGCTGAGTCTAATGCAGGTGCCAGTAACGGTGCTCCGTAAAGCACTAGCTCGTGCTCGAGTGTAAACCCGGGGCCCACATACGCGACGTTGGAGTTGCAAACCAAGGACATCATTCACCCAGAGCCGGGACTGGTTCGGATTCTTCTACGACGATGTCTTCTGCCCTCCCAAATTCTTTCACCTCGTGGTCGAATGGAGCCTTGGCTGCTCAATCTTCGCGCTGCCACGCTCTCTCGGCACCGCAGACTTTGTTGTTCAATGTCATTCCGAATCTGAGGATGGCATGCTCCTCCATACATCTGGCATCCTTCTTCACCAAGCTGGACGCTAGCCAAAGCTCTTGTTGGAGTTGAGGGCGTGAACTTCTGCACACATACTGCATATTGAACAGTAAAGCGCAGGAAGACCAAATGCAGCAGCATAAGTTCCTGGAGAGATGCTGCTGCGCGTTGTTCTTTGCCGAGACAGTCAGCTGGTCCGCCCCAGCTGAGGAAAAGCTGGCATCTGAGCACGGTTTCCGGCTATTGCGGCTGCCAATCAGTGTCCTGTTCCCGCAGGCAGGAGTAGGGAGACTGAAGCAGGGAGACTGAAGCAGGGAGCCAAAACCGCAGTTTTGGGACGCCAATGGCCTCAGTGCAGTGCAGGCAGCCTATACTTCTGCGGCAAGGGGAAACTTGACAAACCCGTCCTGCTTGATGTACCCGAACGAAGGCCCTAAAGTACATGGAATCCCGTTCACTCTCTTCCCTGGCCTGCTTCCGCAGCCTGCACCGGCGTGGGTCTGGAGCGAGGATCAGGAGCCCAATCATAGGGAAACCAACCGCGCATTATAGCATTGCATGTCAAGCAAGGCAGAATATGGAAATGCGGGGGCTGGAAGAGCTATTTGCGAAGATCGTGTAGACTTGGGTGATTGTCAAGCTTGGAGCACAGCTTGCAACTAGAGGATCTCAGAAAACACGGGCTGTCCAGTAGTGCTGGCATATGCTTGAAACTTGTCGTTGACTACTCGCCCCGAGCACTGAACAGGCAATCTCTGTGAAACGAGCTAGGTTCATTTGCCAGGAGACCAACTTTGATCGGCTTCCCTTCTACCCACGGCCACGGGTCAGCGCCAAAGCCGCGAAAGACGGTCATTGTTATTGGTTTGTACGATTGTTCGCCTTATCTATCTAAAGGTAAGGTTAGTGTTGCTCTAAGTCATCACACGGTGAGTGCCGGGTGCAGTCGCGAAGGCTTCCCCAAGAATCGAGATCGCGATCGAGCAGAGCAAGTCTATGCGAAGCTTCTTGAGGCAAACTTATCGCAGGACTCTGAGTGGATGGAAGCTTGAAAGCCCGCTCTCAAGCACAAGCTTCTTCGCATTACTTCCCCTCGCTTGGTGTGTGTGTAGGGGCTACGCCGGCTGCGTCTTCTGAGTCTTCTGCATGAATTCTGAATTAGAAGCCGTCCTTAAATTCTGCTGCTGTCCCTGTCAATAAAGGGAGTGCTGCAGCTCGACGGTCCAGGCCTGGCTGCAGCCGCCGCTGAACTTGCACTTCATCTTCTCATGCCCCATCCAAGATTTCAAGGCCCGGCCAAGACTTGGGAGCAGGAGATGTGTCCGGGTTTGGGTGAGCGGAGCTGAGACCCCATCTAAAAGCTGCTGGTTGACGGTTGATGCGAAGGCCTACCCCATCGTGGCTGAGGAGGATCCCCGGAGAACGACGGCCAACCGAGAGGCCTCTCAGAGTCAGAGTTGCGTCGAGTTCTTGACACATCTTTTGAGAGTCGTGACGTGGAGAGCTGGGAAGGTCTACCAACGACTGAAAGGATGGGTTCTTTGCGATTCCGATGGCCTCGCTCTCGTGACACTTCGGGAAGAGGGCGCCTGGGCACGGAAAGGTAGAGTAGGTAGCATCTCACTGACTGTTCATCTCGGCTCTTCGAGGCATCATGTTCTTTGAGAACCACATACAGGTTTTCGAAGCTCGCACAGAAGAGCGAGTTCAGTCCAACCTGAAGAAGGTGAACCAACTGCGGAGCAAGTTCTTCGAAGTCACCGAGGCCCTTTGGTCCTACTGGCAGCCCTTGTTTATCTTTGGGATGTGCTTCTGTTTCGGTGCATCAGACAAGAAACCGCAAGCCAGTGCCAACTGAGGAGATCCTTAAGCTGTGGGAGCCATAAAACTGCTGCTGCCATCAGATTTTCAAGCCTCCAAACCAAAGCTGGTGCCGCACCTCTTCCAGAAGTCGCGAAGTTCTTGGGGATGTTGCAGCCACTGGACGACCGACTGGCCGGCCGGCTGCAGATTCGGCCAAGCTAGAAGCCATGACGGAACTAGATCCGTCTGGCCGTTTCCTCAACTGCCAGGACGACTTGGCTGGTTTCAGATGTTTCCGCAGAAGAAAAGCTGAAAAGTGCTTTCTAGGAACCGTCTTACGTCGATATCTTTCCGCAGAGACAGCTTCCTGTGAATTGGCACCGTGGCTCGGCTGAGGGAGGGCAGTGAGCTGCCGCACCCTTGAAAAGGTAATGGCTGCAAAGAGAGTAGTTTTCGAGAGAGATTGATCCGCAGCTGCATTGCTCCGAGCTTGATTTGAATGTCAGGCCCGGCACCAACGATCCTCCGGGCATCCCCGAGTCCCCAAGACTGCAGGATAGGAATCTCCACGAAAGGCTCGCAAGAATATTTTTTGGGAACACAGCCTGACTCCAATGTCGCACGCTGGTCCAAGTGCCGACTTCTTTCAGGGCATCCGCCTCATCATCTTTGACCAGTACAAGACTCTGACAGAAGGTGGCTCCGACCCCGAGCGCGAGATCATCAGAGAGTTCCAGTTGAAGCAGGATTACAGCCAAGTTGAGGCTGTCGTTTGCGGCACCAAGTGGGATGCAGATACCGCCTGAGTTGTTCTAGTGTGCCATCATATCCTTGAAACGGTCGGACAGTCCAAGGCAACAGCTAGCTGTGCTATAGCAAGGTTGGAGGTGAGGCGTCCTACCTCAATGCTCTTGTGACTGGACTTCAGCCCCTCGGCAGCCATGGCACTGGCAGTGGCGCTGGAGGGCAGTTGCGACCTTTGTGGGCGCAGCCTGGCTCGCAGGAGCACATGAGCTTCAAGCACCTTCCTATATTACTCCTGTACGCTGCCGCGTTGCGGCACGCAGCCCAAAGTTCTAGAGTTGTGGAGCATATCCTGCGTCCTGGGGTACAGAGAATCGTGCCCGAAGCTGCGAGCAGCCATGGCCGCCGAGCTTCTTCGTGTGCGACACACGAGCAGCTTCCTGGTTTGTGCTGCAGCCGCCAAGCTCCATCCGGCCAAGAAGAGGGCGGGAGATCTGCTGCCCCTGGTGGGGTTCAAGGATGCGGCCTGCACGAGAAAGTCTTTTTACAGTATCATGTGCAAATTTGGGAGTGCTTCATCTCGGAAATCGCACCAAACCCACATTGGTGCGAGAGCATCGCGGAAACTAGAGCCACAGATCAGGCAAACAGTGTAACAGACGGATGGTTGGAGCATTGGCAGCCCAAGCTTTAGGCAGACATATTGCAGCTGAAGTCGGATGGTGTCTAGGCAAACCGTGCTGAACCATGCCGTTCATACACTTAGCCATATCACTGCCTCTTGCAAGTTTAAGAAGCTGGGACAGTACTGTATCACATCACTTAGACAGCCTTAGTTACCTTCAGTTTGTCGAAGAAATCTGAAGAGATGGACTCCGAAGTCAGCAGACACACTTGAGGATGCCTCAGCGCATGCGTAAGTTAGGTGCCGTCTGTACGTCCCGACAGTATAGTGAAGAAACAAAACGGCCATGTTTGCATCACCAGCCTACGTCCTGTATTCAGTCGACTCGAACTCGCGGCCCTTCGTCCTCAGCCCCTTATCTTTCCGTTGCAACAAGTCTTGCCCTTTTATTTGGCGTTGTGTTGGTTCCGCCTTCCGAGGAGGGTGCTGAGAGCCCGGGCAAGAGCACTCGCACGGGGATTCTGGTCCACGGCTGCCATCTCAGTGCCGATGGCTGGGAGCACATTGTGTGGGGTCAGCCGCCCCACGAACTTGGTCGGCTTCCTCATGCTGTTCTGTTGGCTTGGGAGGACAGAGGTAGACGTCCCCTCTTTCAACCTGGGGATTTTGCGAGCCTCAAAAGCAGCTGACAAGTCTGGCGAGGAACGGTGTGAAGACATTGCATGGCGTTCTGTTCTCTCCCTCCCTCGATCTCTAACTTACCTATACTTTCTAGCAGCTCTAACTGCGAATTAAGCAACTGACTGAGTGACTGACTGTTTGTCTGCCTGGCTGACTGACTGACTGGCTAGCAGCCTTTTCTCTGAAGATGGCTTTCAGTCAAAGCTGCAGGAGCAGGCCTCGGTGGTCGTGCTGGGAACCGGTGCCTCCGAGAAGGACGGCTTGAAGGAAAGTGAGACCCTTTGCTGTTCGTTTCTGAAAGACTGTTTTTCTTGTTTCTATGGCGGTAGCAAATCCCATGAAACCGGGGCTTTTCTTTGTCGTCGTTTCCTCTGCAAGGTACACCTTGCGCTACCTTTGGGAGCACTGGGCGCAGCTGTCGGAGTTCGAGCCCCTTCAGCAGGTTCCGCTCACGGAAGCGCGAGGGCTCCTAGAGGCGATCCTGGTTCTCGATGTGGCCACGCAGAACACCGACCAGGAGGTACGAGAAGGTCTCCGAAACCCGGCCGTGGTTTTTTTTGTTTTGTGTGTGTGTGCGTGTTTGTTTCGAGTTGTTTGTTGTCTCTGCGACCGAGGAGTCATGACCGAAAAGAGCTGCCACCATGCCGTCCTGGTTTCTTCTCCGACTCACCTGCCGAGATGCCTGGCTTGTGCCTGCAAGGTCGTCGAAGGGGAGCCGGATGCGAGGATGCAGTAAACAGAAAATGGGTACTGCACTAAATCTTGACAGTTGTGAACTGGCATTCAAAAAAAAGTACTGGCCGGCAGAAGCAACAAAGCTTGGGGCGCCCAATTTGACCAAGGACCTCTTCCATGGCCCCATCTATGCAAGTCCCTCTGACACTTGCTACGAGGGCGCTCAGGCCAGTGATGTGGTGGTGGTTGAGCCTCCACACCGGGGAGACCGAGACAAGTCCCTGGACCCACGGAACGTGCGATCATTTAGCATCGACAGTCATAGCATCGGAAAATGGCTATGATAGGCACTTTTAATGCCCAGTACATTGTAAAAAAGGTCCATTGCTAGGCCGAGGTTCCGAATGTGAGTGCTTTCTGCGAGGACCCGCTGAAGTTCCACGACTTGGTGCGGAGAAGTTACAAAGTCCCAAAGGAGAAGAAGGCTGACTTCCTGAAGCGGTTGGGTTGTCTGTTAGAAGAATTCGGTGTGTAGTGTGTGGTGTGGATGGGGTTCCAGCCTGCCTCTAGCACGGGCGATGGATATCTGAGCGGTCCCCCGACAAGCAGAAAACATCAGCACCACACGACATCTTGACAAATGTTGTCTTGAATTGGTTTATGCTTGCATAAGCGCAAAGACGATTCTGAGTCGCGCTCGCTTTGCAAAGTCTCACGGCCATAGCTCGACAGAAGCGCAGGCAGAAAGAGGCTGTATGCGTTTTCTGGGCCTTCGCAGAATCCCCGGTAGCCCCAAGCAGGTCTACGTCCGGCGGTTTGTCTTCCCTGGTACTTGCTCCACTTTGCATGGGCGTGAAGACATCATGACCCAATAGAAACATGACAGTGCCCACTTCCCAACCCGAACTAGGCTTCCAGATTGCGCTGAGACGCGGCAGCAGCTGGAAGCCATCTTGCAGCGAGATCAAGCTCAAGAGCAACGTAGCTTCCAATTACAAAAGCCACGCTGGCTGGATCCCCTTCCATTTCGCAGCGCTTTGGCCCAGGTCTGTGGTGAAGTCGGCTCCGGCGGTTCTGCAGGAGCTCAAGAGACGAGGCTACAAGCTCGCCATTCTCTCAAATGCTGCGACTCCGCAGTATACGTGGCTCGGAGGAACCACATTGCCGTTGAATTTGAGAAAGTCTCTTTGAAACCCTTGAATGCACTAGAATGCAAGCCATGGCAAAAGCTGAGCGTGCGAAGGCATGTCCTGCAACACGAGGGCCTGCGAGAAATCCTCGACCCGGCGCTTTGCCACTTGCTGTCGGTCTAACTTCGGGTCACTTTGCGAGAGCATGCTGAACCTGCTTGTCGCCACATCCGCTCAGGCTGCTTCTCCTTTCAACTGGGGATCGTGAAGCCAGATCCTCGGATCTTCGCGCACATCTGCACAGCAGCGGGAGTTCCTCCATCCGCAGCGCTGATGGTGGGCGACAGTGTCAGGACGAACCTGCAGATGTTTCCTGCACCCACATACTCATAGACAGGCGTGGCCATAGAACAGCATATGATATGAGCACACTCATAGACATGTAGAGAAACATACATACGCAGAGTGCGAAAGTACTCCAGTACAGAATAA